GGCAGAGGATGAGATGGTTAAATAGCATCACTGAAGCAATGAGCATGAAACTGAGCAAACTTAGGGATGCAGTGAAGGACAGGATGGCCTGGCGTGATATGGTTCATGGGGTCATGAAGAGTTGGACACGACTTAACAACCTGAACAATCTGTATGTCATCTGACCATAGTTAGTATTAAGTACGAGCTCTCCTCTAAATAAGCCATACTAGAGAAGCAGTAAACACCTCTGAAGTTCTATCCTATCTGGAAGAGAGCATGAATTGAAGAAGAGGAGGAAGTACATGACTTCAAGTTTCATTATGATTCCTTTCTGTTTGTGTATATTGTGCTAGGTAGCTTTTTGGCCCCCAAACTGCAATTTATGCCAGGCATTAGGCTGTACAAATAATCCTATAAAAACATGCACATGTACATAATCTTCCCCCATCACAGCAAAAGAAGAACATGTTTGTATCCTCTTTCATGTCATGATATGCTCCCCTGCTGTTGAGTCCACCTGTTTGGCAGGCTCCAGGAATACAAAGGAGGCTGCTAAGGGCTACATTTGGCCAATGGACCACGTGGACACTAAGATTTAGTGTGATATGGTGACATAGCAGGCAAGACACATGAAGAAAAGAGGATGGAAAAAAATGGGTATTAAAATATTCAGTGCAAGTACAACGCTAAATGAAATTTGCCATTATTAGAATGCACTGATGGAACCTGCTTTTTAATTATATATATAAAAACAGAAGAGAAATAACCAGTGAGAAGAAAAAGGGTGAAAATATGGGGCTTAAGCAATTACTGAGCTGAACCAGGAGCAATATCGATCAATGATTATTGCTTCTGATCTTCCAAAATAACTGAAGTTCTCTGGGGGGATGGCAGCATTATTAAACCATTAGATGTTTCTAAAGACATTAAAAAGAAAAAAAAAACAATAGGAAATCACATGGCACAAGAAACATAAAATCTATTATTCCAGTATAGAACAGGTGCTTAAATTCCAACTGAATGCAGAATTATAACAATATTTGGAGGAAGACAACTTTTTCCCCCCTAGCCTTGGAAAACCACAAATCCAGGCGCCAGAAGTGTCTCACTGGAGGAGGCATTTCATAAGCAGGTCCCTAGAACTGAGACCTTTTCCACTGTAGCCACTTCATTTGCCAGGGATACTTGGAAAAAGGCCTCCAAAGAGGACTGCAGGGCCCAGTCAGGTACACATGCAATGGGACAAGGTGCCAGGAAATCGGGCCGTTACTGTCTTCATCTATCAAAGAAATAATGGGAGAAAATGTCTTTCAAGGGAGCTGATGGCAAATCTAGCCAATAGAATCTGGTATTACTAGTTGAGCCCAGCATCTTTCATGTTCCAGATCATCATGGCACACAGGATTCCCTAAGACCAAGACCAGCACTTACTGTGGGGCCTCCACCATGCATTTTCAGAGCTCGGACAGTGGCGACCAAGACTACCACATGAGGCTGCAAACCGGAATACCGACACTTGATGTCAAAGAATTTTTCCATGCCAATATCAGCTCCGAAGCCAGCTTCAGTCACTGCATGCAGAATAATGAAATTCATTGTTACGTACAGTCTGCTTTCTTTTTTTGCATAGCATCATCATTATCGTCGTCATCATCATCAATTTGTCCCCTTTCTTCCCTTGAAGACTTGGGGGATTTATATTACTATGATCCCTGCCCACGGAATTGAATGAGTTAAATCATATTATGGAGTTGCTTAAATGTTATACACAACATGACAGAAGGTTTACAATTAAACCTTTACAATTTAATTACAATTAAAACAAAAAACAAAAAAACCCAGCAGCAGCATGTTAACAAAATGCTCAGAAAGGCAAAGAAAGTCTGAGAACAGGATTGCCTCCCCTTCCTCCTCCTCCTCATTGCACAGCTCTAGCAGCAACTGATGCAAGCTAGGAGAGAGGACAGCTAAGGAAATAGTAATGCTAACAGATAAGCTTGCATCTCTGCGTATCTCCTGTCATGCACCTCTCATGATTATCACTTTTTTCTTAATTGCGGTTACCTCTGGGGCCAGTAGTACACCAAGAACCATTCCAAGATGGTGACTGAACAAAACTCATGCTAAGCAATGGTTGTGTAAAATATGTCAATAATTAGAAAAGACCTTCTCCAGCCTAACGAATTCCACACAAATAACTGGCATTCCAGGAAGAAAAAAAGGCAAGACAGACTCCATGTCATTTTATTTCTCTCAGAAAATCTTTTGTTAACCTATAATTAACTTATGACTGTTCTCGTACTCCTATTCCTAGAACCTATTATAGTTCATCTGATTTCTTTACCTGAGGCAATCACTGCCTCTTTTCAACCCTCTAATTCAGTTACTTTGCATATCCAATCCCCATTCTTTCCTTTAAAAATAGGAGGTAAGAACATCATAGCAGTAGTGCTCTCCTGCTGTGGCTCACAGGCATGGAACTTCTGAACATGGAGAACCCTACAACCATTGTGACCAGTGGCTGTTGAGAGAGTGATCCTTTATGAATTTGCCTTCCCAACCTCTGGAAGCACTTCAACCAACAGTCTTCACTACATCGTGTAGCAATGCATTTTATAAAGAAACCACACCCAAAGATGGAAAGAGGCTTACCAACAAACCCATCCTTGCCAACGAGCTTCAGGGCAATCTTGTCTGCCAGGACAGATGAGTTGCCATGAGCGATGTTAGCAAATGGACCAGCATGGACAAACACTGGATTACTCTGACAGATATGAACAGAAACAGAAGAACAGAAAGAAAGAGAAATTAGCATCTTGTCATCTAGAACATGGCAAACCTACATATCCTTACAGTATTTGGAAGTACATTTTGCTGCACTCAGTAAAAGTTATTCATATATAAGCCTGCAAGGCAAATCAGAACGTATTATACAAAAAGTAATCAGCCTTTCATGGTAAGGCCCAACCACATGCACCAACCCTGAGAAGGGAAGGGCAGCTCTTGCTCAGTCAGTCTCTGTTTTAATACATGTCTTACTCACCCAAAAGATTAAAAAGCCAACAGGAAAAAACACGCAGGAGGGAGAGTAGGGTAGAAAAAACAATCCTATTTTTGTGATGAAAGAGGGAAGTAATGGAGTGTTTGAGGTGTGCTATAAATAATTTCAGAGGGGTGGGAGAAAGAATGGGCGGCAAAGGCCCTACGAGGCTCCAGTGCATGGAACTGAGAAGCAATTCACTGGCAAACAACAGATGTACATGTATTATGTTGGTACACGCATGTACATTTTTGGTATACTGGCACAAGAGACAGAAGGTACTGACATCTGAAATTAGTAGGAGATGAAGAAAGCTGCAGAAAGAACAACAGATGCAGGAAAAATGTCTGACTGCACTACTATGGAAAACAGAAACATACATGTTTTTGTATACAAAAACAACAACTTTGTGAAAGAACTTGCAAGTCAGGAATAAAACAAAGCTCTGAAAGAGAATGGCCTGCAAGCTTTTGTGGGCTTGATAGCAACAGGTTCATTTTATGTATTACCCTCTCAAGTAAATGCTTCCCAGGATAGTTTCCATGAAAGAAAGAAAACAGCAAAAAGATAAGAAGGATGGTGAGCAAGCAGAATGGAATAATTACGAGAGGAGCAAATATAGGAACCTAAGAACAGTGCTGCCTGATCAGGGCAACACCAATCCTAGTCCAGAATTTTGTTTCTCAATGTGGCAAACCAAATGCCTCAGGTGTGCTCAGAAGCAGAAGATGCAGACAAGTTTTTCCAAATACCAATTTCCCCCTGCAATTGGTATTTGGGGCATGGACCGCCAATTCAGAGGTAATGTTGAATTTGAAGACAAACAACCTTTTGAAAACCTGACCTCCATAAATTTATTTAATCCCTTTTAAAGCCATTCAAGTAATGAATGATAATGAATTTCACAGTGGATGGCAATGTGGGAGGAGCAGAAAGGAAACAACTGGGCATTCAGTTGTATGGGATATGGAAGATTGTGTAAGAAAAGAAAGGTCACATCCAAAAATAATAGCAGATGCATAGACTGCTTAACTCTTTCAAGTTAACAGCATTCATAATTAACTAATAAAAATAACTTCCTTAAATTACAAGGAAAACTCCAAAAGGAAGGTCACAATAAACAAAACATTTTGGGAACCATCTTCCCATAGGCTACATAGAATTCTACAAGCTGGTAAAGCTGGCATTACAAAATAAACCAATGATTTAATCCAAAATTCTACCGAGCACCACAATAAATTCTCAAAAATGGTCAAATCTCATGAGAACACTGCATCTTATGAAGTTTTCATGTCTCAAAAACTTCTGAGATTTGGGCATCTGAGATTTGGAGCAAGAATTATGTGAAATGTCACAATCTTACCAGTTTTTTTCATTTTAAATTTATTTTTAAAAAGGCTAAAAGTCTTTTTTTAAAATAAATTATTAAACACTATTTTTAATTAAATTTTGGGATCCTGTGGATGTTGTTGGGGAGGTCTTATGTTCCATAGCTCCTATGGATAACACATTGCTGTCCTCCCTTTTATCTGATAAGCAGCAGAAGCACCTGATGACAATGGTGATAATGCAGTAACCCGTATAAGAGAAAACCACTGAAATAGACCGTATTTTAATGTATGTCCTTATTTTCAGCTAAAAGCATCTGCACAAACTATACTTACTTCCAAAGTCTGCATGAGGTTGGGCTTAATAGCATCTTTCATCAAAACTGCCAGGGCACCGCTCACTCCCTAAGGAAATAAGTAGGAAGAATTATTTAAGTAGCAGTTCTTGTCCATTTATTTAGGTTTATGGCATTTCAAGCTAATAAGCCTTCTACTTTTTATAACCATGATGTACCGTTCTCCTAGTCTTTGCATAGAAATACATCATAAAGGGGCCATGTTTAGGTTTTATTTAGAATCCAGTTTGCTCTACGTTTTTGCCTTATTTCAAACTCTATTGCCAGAAATTTGGGAGAAGACAAATTTCAATGTCTGAAATTTCAAGGTCTATTTTTAAAATTATTTACTAGATACACATTGAGAAATCCTGAATACATACCTGTTTGTCATCCTAAGAGTCTTGCCAAATCAGACAAGGTCCACTGAACCTAACTTTGCAAGAATCCCAGCAATCGACATATGCTGCCTGATATGACTGAAGCTGGCTACTTCTGTCATAGATAAAGCACGTACAATCTCAGAAATGAGTCAATTGAATCTTCCAGAGGATTCTAAACCTCACGTTCAAATGCAAGTTGCCAAAAAGTTGTTGGACTTTGCTTCCCCAAACTGGTTTTGACTAAAAAACACCCTGATTTTTCTCTCTTGAGTGGAGAATGTGAAAGTTATTGCAGTTTTTTTAATGACTAAAAAAAGGTGCCTTTTTGCCAATCTTTAAAGGAGCCTCAGAAATGGCTGGTGTGGGTCTTCCGGGCTGTGTGGCCGTGTTCTGGAAGTTTTGTTTCCTAACGTTTCGCCAGCACCTGTGGGTATTTATAGAGGTCTGGGGGGG